CAGCCTGCGTTTGAATCCAGGATCTAAAGGCAAATTAAATTTCCCCATCCATGTTAAGAAAGCAATTCAGCATCTGAACTGGATCAGCTTTGAGGCCACACTAAAGAATTTAGTTGAAATGTGGTATGATGAAAGACTCCTGTTCAACAGCAGATATAATTATCACATCGATCTTAATTAGATCATGAACGTGACTTTAGGATCCCCAAAGGACTAGTGAAAGCTTGGTCCAGTTACACTGAACTTAGTCCAGGACACTGAAGTCTAGTACTTTGACATGACAGATGCTTGATGAGTGACAGAGTAAATGCCTTTTAAACTATGATTTTAAAAAGAATTACTAAAGTGTATGCTGTTACCTTTTAGGGAAAAAGTATAATACATGAAGATCAATTATTACAGAGCACATAGAGCACAATTTTTCTAGCACTGGTTTCAGAATTCAAACTGTTTGAACTAAGGTTCTCTCTGTGGAGAGTCACTTTGTAACCCAACTGAAACCTTTAAATAGCTATTGTTTAAAAAATCTGTCAGCTACAGAAAAATGTTTCTCCTTCAGATTCCAAATCCTGTCAGGCTAGGTTGGTTAAAATGTTACATTTTTTTTAAAAGGCTATTTAATCATCCCTTAAAAAATCAAGAGGAACTCAGTTTTTAAAGCATCACAAACAAAAGGCTATAGCCCATTTATCATTCACATATGGATTCATGTAATGATTCTTCAATTAGAATTATTATCTACACAGCAGCTGAAGACTGAGAAGTGCTGATACACTGCAGATGAGAACATTTGCTAGTCTCTGGGCTCCAGCCTTTCTTAAAAAATGATGATAACACAAAATAGATTGCTCAGTTTATATGTGTATTAAGCTGCAATGCCAGCATTTACATTTGCAACATTACAATTTTGCTTTCTTAGGCTCAAGAGAATTTGCTGCATCTGGTAGATTTTATTTGCTTTGTATCTTAGGCAATCATTATGAACAAAGTGTGGGTAGGCAGTATTATGCTCAAACAGTCCTCAGTTTTGCTCATTATCTCAGATATTACAAAAGAAGTAAACTAAGAGTGAGCCTGTGAGATGGGTCATTCTGTGTCAGTTTGCTTGCACGATATCCCAGTGCTATTTTTAAAGGCATGTTCATCTGCTCCTTCATTTCTTGCACATATATAGGTCCAGATAACATAAGATCCAACATCAGAGGGACAGAAAAGCTCACAGAGCAGAGCAGTTACAGGCACCATAGGGAGGAAAGTCACTTGGGTAATTCAGACCAAAGCAATTTGAGCAAGTATCTGTTGAATGCATATTCTACAGAAGCAGAGTGGGAAATGTCCTAGCTCTACAGCCACTGCTTCTCATACTTGCAATGCTCAAACAGACCCCAGTTTCAGTATCTGTCAATACTGTATTAAGTGCAGTAGCTGCCAAGCAAACAGGTCACTTTGCTATCTGTGCTACAGGGCATTAACTTCAAGCAGCAGACCAGGCAACAAGAATGGTAACCTCTTAAAACTTCTCTTTCTGTATCTTCAGCTCTTGTGGAATATTTGAAGTGCTTGCTTTTTCCTGCTTGCGACTGATAACCATGTGCTGTGACCTAAAAGATGATGGAGACAGGTAGCTACACAAATAGCAGCTGTAAGATAGCCCTACTAAATGGGCATCTGTTCCTGGTGTTTTTACTAAGGATCCTTGCTGTATGAACCCCAAGGATGCTCTGAAGCCCGGGCAGCCTTCCTCCATGTCCCACTAATAATGTGGATGCTGGAGATGGCAAGTTGTGTCTTGCAGACTTCTGAGCTATGTGGAAGCCTTTAGTGACATGTGCCTATGTAGAGATTAGGAAAAAAGCTGCACAGTTAATTAAGATTCTTACTTCACTGTACAATCTTAGAACTTCATAGTAGGCAAATATTGTTGATATATTTGTTTTACTCTGCATTTTGTCAAATTTATGCCCATTACCATCTTGCAAAGTACTGTTACTGGGCAAGACCTGCTGTAGCCATGACATCTTCCCATATCTGCTATACAAAGGAAATGAAAACTCTGCTCATGGCTGCGTGTTCTAGTATTCTTTCATTACTTTATTACAGATATTAGTGAACATAGAATAAGTGATTTATACTTTTCCTTGAAAAATACTTTTAATTATCTACTGAATCTCCCATGTCATGTATGCCACAGATAATCAAGTCTTTTCCATTTACTTGAAAGTATATTGCCATTTGAATTACTTACAATGTAATTATATTTATAGTGACATTATATAATGCTTCTGTCTCTAAAAAAATTGTATTAATTACAACTGAAGACATTTATGAGAACAAAGCAAGCAAACAAAACAGCAAACTGGCACAACAGCTGACTAAAGTAACATAATGAGAGTTCAAGAGTTTATACATCATGATTGGGAACATGTCTCAGACTATTTTAAATTTCCGTACTTCAGGTGGCATCACTAAGATTTGTGGAGAACTTTAATGACACAAATATTTATTTTTTTTTAACTAAAGCCATCATCTTAAATTATTTTGTTCTTTTTTTGGCATTTGTGGTTTGTTGTTTTTATTAAGAAAACCTCAAAATCAAAGCAAACCACTTCATTCTTTCCCTGGATACTGGTTTGTAGAGATTTTTAGCCTTGATTTCAAATGGGAAACATTTCAAAGACAGACAAAACACTACCTGAGAAAGCAGTTCAGTCTATAGTAGAAGCGAGTGAATTACTTGCAGCAGACAATTAATTTATTACGAGACCATAAAAAGCAGAGGCTTCTTCCTCTCAGGGAAGGCAACTGCTGTTTTCTTTATTCAGTTTCAAGTTATTATTCATCAAATGGCTATTTTAGTTGCTACCAGGCACCTCCCTAAACTCTCCTAACAATAGTTCTAATGTTCACATAATGTGACTAGTCATCAATCAATAATTTATAGTCATTCAGGCACAGAACAGTAGTATTGAAAACCAGGAAGAAAGGTATCACTAAGGCTTTGTGGTTTTCACTGGCTGCTCCAATATACTGAACACTGAGCTGCAGAGCTTTGGCTCCCAAGCTTGGGGAAAAGCTTTACTGGCTGGAAAAACTGGTGAGAGGAAAAAAAAAAAAAAAAAAAAAAAAAGAGAGAAATTTACATCTCCTTATAGCCACAAGGACTCAGCGGCCAAGTTAAATTACATTTCTCCTAGAATGTGTTTGTACAGCAAGTAACAACTGTGACTGTAGCCCGGGGAGCCATACCTTGTCAAGCTTTAATCTCATGTGTCACTGTGGCAATACCAATGTAGAAGCAGCAATTCAATTTAAACTTAAGATACAATGGACCTCACTAAGTGAGAGCAGCTTAATGATAATTAGCATACTATTAACTTCCACATATTAACATCACCCCTTGTAACAACTGATTTGAACATGTTGGATAGACAGTCCTTTCAAAAGCACCACTATTTTGATTAAGCAAAACTTTACTGGGCGGAAAAACTGGTGAGGGGAAAAAAAAAAAAAAAAAAAAAAAAGAGAGAAATTTACATCTCCTTATAGCCACAAGGACTCAGCGGCCAAGTTAAATTACATTTCTCCTAGAATGTGTTTGTACAGCAAGTAACAACTGTGACTGTAGCCCGGGGAGCCATACCTTGTCAAGCTTTAATCTCATGTGTCACTGTGGCAATACCAATGTAGAAGCAGCAATTCAATTTAAACTTAAGATACAATGGACCTCACTAAGTGAGAGCAGCTTAATGATAATTAGCATACTATTAACTTCCACATATTAACATCACCCCTTGTAACAACTGATTTGAACATGTTGGATAGACAGTCCTTTCAAAAGCACCACTATTTTGATTAAGCAATTTACAGAGGGCTCTGAAAGATACATGTCTCAGATCCCACCAAAGTAGCTTGAATATTTCCTGACATTTAGAACTCATTAATTGTGGTGTCCCAAGTATTACTACATTAGAGAGAGACAAAGACAACGCCTTCGAACATTAAGCTCACTTTGAATAGTAAATGACATAAAAACTACATCCAATGTAGTAATTGGATTTAAAAGTAAAAGTTTTGCAACCTATAGCACTGTCACTCCAGTGACACAGAACCTTTGTTTCAGGAACAGACTCTGAATCTATTGTTTGCTTAATGAACTCAAATCGGCAACTGCACACACAGCGACAGAAGCAACAGTGCCAATGGCAAGAGACATTTCAGAAATGGAAGTCTATAAATTTTAACAATGGACTAAAAATGCCAAAATACCCTCGAGTCTCACTGGCTCTTAAAAATGCTGCATTAATCCCACAAGGCATTCCTCCTTTTAGTGGGTCTCTGACCTGATCACTCCATTACAGAAAAGATGAAATGGAAAAAAGGAGAGAACAAAAATAAGGAACAAAAAAAGATGATTGTACCTTTCCACTCCACAACTCCTTGCTTTAATTATTAAAATTACTTTGGGTTGCTCAACTATGCAAATGTTTCCAAGAGTTGAGAACTGACAGGACTTGAGGCATTCTGTTTTTCTTTGCCACTGAGGGCTGCTTTGTTCTAGGCAGTTCATCAGAGGTGAGAACACTACTGGTGAAAAGAAGTAGTGAAAAACACCACTATTCCATCTCTATCATTTCCTTGTGCAGTTTTAACATAGTATTTAGTAAAGGCTATTCCAATATTTATATAAATCTTTGAAAAGAAATTAAAAGTGGCAAGTATGCTGGTGAGAAGCAAGAGAGGTTTTGAGAGCTGTGAAACATTTCTTGCTGGATGGTCTATACTTAGGAAAGAATTCAATCACTGCCATGGAAAATCTTTTTAATCAAAAAGATTGTGAAAAAGCATTCTGTGATTTGCTGAACACTGGTCCACATAAGTCACCCACAGACTGAAAGTCCAGGTCAAGGTCTTTATAAATGTTAAGCATCAGTTTGGCAGATATTAAGTCAGATATTTATATACTGCAAAAACTTATGTCTGGCCCTGTCTTGGGGAGAGTATCACCTACTTTATTTAAAGCTGAGTTTCATCCAACTTATTTTTTGTTGTTGTCTGCAGATCAGGAATAAATTTTCTGCACTGCAGATTCACAATGCTAACACAATACAAACCTGAGATACTTAAAAGCATTTCTTCCTGCATTACTAAAATGGTATCTTCTAGTCTTCAAGTTGTTCTGTGTCTGTATTAGAATGACTTATTTCATTGACACTTTTTTCTTTCTTTGCTTCTTTTCTAGTAGTCTTCAAACACTTGCCGAGTCTTTTTAGGAATATGTCTACATCTTGCTTTTTAATTCCAATTGCTGAAGCAGCATTAAGGTAAGCACAGGGATAGTCATTTGCATGTGACATAAAGCCTTTAAAAGTATAGTTATTCACTGTTTGCACAGATCCACACGGAACAACCCTGAAACAAACAATATTGTGATTCAGTTAAGGAAGCCTTGGATGTTTAATGTGATACGCTATGATTACGACATTTATACAGGTTCCTATACAGTGCAGTATCTGCTAACTCTTAACAAATTAATGTAAGGAGGCTTAACTAAGGCATTTTCCAGGTTATTGCCCAAGCATCACAATGAGTGACAGGAGTAGCAGATCCTGAATTAGATCAAGTCTGTCTGCATATGTGCATGTCCCTTCCTCTACTCAATGAAATGATGAAGGTCTTCACTACTGGTATTGATGAACTCTCCCGTGTGTGTGTGAAAAAACGTGAAGAAAAGTTTCCTATTCCATAACAATCCCTAACTATCTCACCTGCCTAAGTTCACCCCTCCTTCAGCAACCTGGTGACCCTGACTTCTCCAGGATCACCCATCATACTGACATCAGTGCAGACACCTGTTTGTCATAGTATATACTGCAGCCCAAAACGTCTGGGTTCAAGTGATTCAGAAGGCTCCAGATCCCAACATCCTCCCACCCATTCCTCTCTGCTGCATCTCCATTTTCCCCAATCCTATGACGTTAATCTCATACTCATTCCCTTTTTCTATTGGATACATTTTGCCACTGCTTTTACCTCTTCCTCATGCTAAGAAACTCTACCAATTGCACTCCATTTATTTCTCAGCACTTTCAGTACATATATATTCCCTGATGATAAATTAAGACCCTGATCCACATCCTTACTTGTTAAAGGAACAGCTCACCTGGTGTCTATAGTTAAATCCTACACAAGCAGTTAACACCAATCTATTGATAATAATATAATACATCTATAGAGACATTCCCTGCAGTTCATAAAAGCAACTGCATTCAGACAAACACCACCAGGATGAGCAGATCCTTCCACTGTCCCAGTGCTCTCACCACAGGTCATGCAGAAGCCTGTATGCTAGTGAAGTGGGGAGCTGCTATTCCTACCACTGACACTCAGCACAAGCATAACATTTAAAATCTGTTGAAATGCTGGGTAAAACAGTGTATATACTGCAAAAAGAACTACTTGCATTAAAAAAAAAAAAAAAAAAAGAAGAAGAAAAAACCTGAAACTTTTGTATCAGGCAAAGAACTGGAGAGTTTTAACTTTTCAAATATTGAACCTCTTGAGTATTTTCAGCCGGAGATGCTGAAATTGCAGGACAAACCAAGGTTAGGACAGACAAATTAAAAAGAGCATTTAACTACAGTACATATAGATTTACTGTCATTCATCTGTGCAAGAAGTGGAATAATCCAAGCTAATGAAGCATACCTTCTGATGGGGAAAAAATTACATTAAGTCTATGGCAGAAATTAGCATGGCAGCAGTAATATTCAGATTAAGGAATCCTGCCAAAACAAATTTTAAATCATTCTCTTCTTCTAAAAGGTTTAAACCAAAATCATTAAGACGTATTTGGCTTGCATTTCCATGTACCAATGGCTCTAAGAATAAATTAGAATCAGGCTGGCTGAGATTGTAGATTTTCACAATTAAAAAAAAACTTTTTAAACACAGTTAGTTCCAGAAAGCAGGATTTTGTTCCATATGACAAAAAACTATGTAGGATATTAAAAGCTTATGCCCTGGACACCCAGCACAGTCATATTTGTGCTGCAATAAACAAAACAAATATATTCCCTAAGCAGCTTACTACTTAACTGTAAGATGAGACAACAGCTGGAAACTAAATGAAGCCAAGGGGTACTATGCAATAATGCCACTATATCAAACAGGCATAGATTATCTATTTAGCCTACCAAAGCTAACAAAGAGGCCTCATTACTAACTCAGGCAGGTAGACACTATTAGTAGATAACAGTGATGAAGAAGGGTAAATTACTCTCTGACTTATTATTATCAGACTGTAATCTGTAATGATGAGACAAATGGTACAAAACAAATACTAGAGGACTCCATAAAGTATATGCTGTTACAACCCCTCATTTTTTTCAAATTCATAGCATACTCACCTTGCTCCAGAAACTTGTCTTGTGAAAAGCATAGATCCAAGCTCTGTAACAGCAGCACCATTATTTCCATCTAGATTCTTCAGTGACATGGCTAAAATAACAAAGATCAGGTTAAAATTACTAAAACAATTCTTTTACTCAAAAGAACCCCCACAGAGGACAAGCTGTGGTTGTTTCCTAATTTATTTTAAAATCTACTTATTTATAAAATATTACTACATGCTAACATCTTGTGACTGTCTTGATTACAACAAACTAGCACGTTGGACAGGAGTAATTTAAAAATTAAAATTAAAATTAAAAAAAAATAATTTAAAAAAAGGCCTGAGTTATTACTCTACTTTTACAGCAGTTTACCTTATTATGTTAGATAACTTAATCTCAGCCTATGAACAATTTAATGGAATGTAGTGAACAAGGTTAATATATAGGAACTGTATGTAGAAATGCATTATGAATGCACAGTGTATTAAGAAAAAATTAAGACAAAAACCAGCAGTTACCTAAGGAGATGGGATTATGTGGTGTGTCTAACAGTCTCTCATTGTAGCTATCTGCCAACTTCTTCAACTCACTTGAAAGATAGGAAAACATCTCCTGGAAAAAAGGATTCAGTATTTTTATCAAACAGAGAAAATAATACCCATTTCACAAAGCCTCTAGGTCTTAATAATATCCTAAAGGCACCCAGCTGATCCTCTTTCCATGTGTACCAAGTAAGTGGACCACACAATTCTCTGAAACCTATAAAGGAACAGATGCATCTCCTGAGCACTGTTCAGAATGCACAGTGCTTCTGTTCTCCCCCCTCAAACTGGGAGTCCCCTTCTTTGTGGCCCTGAAGCCTAGGGAGGTAAAATCTTGAACAGATTCCCACTGCACAGCAGATCTTAACCCATCCCACTCCTGCAAGAGCTTCCCCCCACCCTAGCCCCCTGAGCCACAGCAAAGGAACTGTTCCAGTCACAGATGGTCATGTCATGGCAAACTGCTCCTTACTTTATTTTCTCTCTATTAATACAGTCCAGACTGAAAGTAGTGCATTTTGTTACCCTGCATCATACTACCACAGTTACCACTGGTGCACAGACTTCTTTTTCTGTATCAGAATGGCAATAAGGTCTTGTAAGAAGACAGCTATGAGTACACATCTGAATGCATCTTGTTTCACACAACATACTCTCCTGAATACCCAGCTCGACTGTGTAGCCAGTCCTCTTCCTGGGACCAATCCCTCTTGTTCAAGACTACTAAAAGAACGGAGATACCTGAATTTCTGCTATTGATTAGATTGCACTTTAATTAGATTGCACTTAATTAGATTGCACCTTTATGGTGAAAATTTCATAAAACTGAGATTCATAAAGGTTTTGGCTCAGATGCAAGTCATACTGCATATAAAAAGCTGCTTCTCTTACTTATTCCCATTTTATTTCCTCCCTCTTCCCCAGTAGTAATCTCATGTTCTTCCTCAGTTTAGTACTTCCCTCTTCACATTTTGGCACAAAACGCTTAGGGTAAACAACATGCTTCTTATTGTATCTTTTGGCTTATTTTCCACCATTTTTAATGCTTAAGTCTCCTAAAAAGAGCTAAAAGATGCATACTGGGTAGTCTTTTTAAAAGCTACTAAACACCAGATTTTTCCTCTTTCTGGCCTTAAAGACTGTGCTGCTCATCTGCTTCAATGTGACTGCCTGTTTAAGCAGCCTCATCAATTTCTGGATCTGACAAGTGATTTTTCATTCTTTAAATAGAGTTGCCTCTTCTGTTTGTAGACCAGTGTCCTGTTCTAACCTGTGCACTCTGACAGATAAAAATTATAGCTCGTGATCAAAATTACGTTTTTGAGCAGAACTTCCCAAAGGTCTTAAGAAACCAAATGAGCTTTATGGTAGCTAAGTTAAAAGAATGTTACATCTGCTTTTCTTAAGCCACTGCAGTGAACCCCATCTCACTCCATGAGTGATCAAATCAACACAGCTTCTGTACCATATTACAGTCTAAAGGAATTATGCTATCAACAGGAGCATAAAGCTTCTGTTGTACTTGGAAAAACAACAAAAAGGTTAATTATCAAAACTTGAAATTTGTGATAAACAAGCCTTATTTTTCAGGTACATTTATGAAGCAAGTGACTTTATGGTTTCAATTAAGAGTTTATTTACAGTTCACTCGAAAAAGTTGAATAACATTTATATTTCAAATGTTCAGCCACTTTTTTTCCTTCCTTCTGGTCCTTCACTGAATATAAACACATTACTCATTTGTTATTTACTGTCCACAATGAGCATTACCAGTGTGTTAGTAATTTTATTAGTATTTTTTTGGAATACAAATAATAAATTAATTTGTGCTCCCTCTGCTGGCTATTTACTTTTACAACTGAAGCAAAGTATTAAGAAGTATACATAAATTGTGTCTACTGTGGAGATATTATCAGTGAAATTAAAACAGAGAAAAACCTGTCCTGGAACAGGAAGAAATTCCCAAGTAACTACTTTTGGTGTGTTGTAGCTAGGCAATTCTTCTCTGCACCTCTTCCAGTATTTATCACTGAAAGGACTGCAAGCTGGTATAACCAGTTGCCCACTATATAAATGTATTAAATTAAATTAAGATTAAATACCTAGGTTACTAGATAAGCCTTTAGACATACACAGTTTTGTTAAAACAAAGGAGAGTGGAAAGACAGAAAAATAAAATAAATCTAAGTACATATTTTCATGTTTGACTGAAGCTACCTGAACACAAATTCAGGACTTCGTATTTTTATAAATGACATTATTTTACATCTTTCCATTTGAAGTCCTCTAGACATTTTATAGTTTCCAAAGTGTAAGCATTTTGTTGCAAAATAGGTTAATGTTTTTTACCATAAAAAGAGGAAAAAAGTAATATTTTTGTAAGATCAAATCTATAATCAACCTCTATTATAAAATATTTGTTATGTGGAAAATTTATAAGCTCCCTAAGCAATTATATACAAATGAGATCTTACATAATTGATTTTTGTGGTAGGCACTCAAGTTTTCTCCAATGAAACTATTAGGCTAAAGTTGCATTGAACAACACAAGCACTAAATGTCAGTTAAGTTTTATTATTTAATTAACTCTTTC